CTAGGGGTACGCACAGGTTCAGGATTGGTGTGCCTCCAGGCTTGGAGGGCTTGCCCTGTGTTGATTGGTCAACTGGTTGTTATGGCCCATAGGCCCTCCCAGGGTGGTTGCTGTGCTCTGCTCGCCATTGCTGTGCACTTGTCCGTAAAGCACACCCAGAGCCATAAAGCATAGCACCACCAGCTAACTTCTGATTTGGTTACTTGCCACGAGGCAGGCACCTAACCTCTAGTGACCAAGGCAAGGTCAGAAAAGCACGTGTCCGGCTGTTTGGCTGCTGAAATGGGGAGCTGGTCCCTTCAGAATCAATATTGTCTTAGAGATATCTACACCCCCAGACATCACCACCCGCCTTCCTATTTCCTCTCATCTTTTATAATAAACCAAAGGAAGGAATGTTGGCATTCAGGCATTTACACCAGCCTGCCCTTGGGGACCTAGCAGGATACGTCATCAGCAGCAGCCAAAATGTGATGCTGTGACTGCTGCAGCCACTGGGTAGATCACTTTCCTTCATGCACATGCACTATATACCCTTATAAATGGCAACTGTTTCCTTCTGCTCTCACTCAGAGGCTGTCTCTAACCCCCACCCCCATAAGCCTCCCACCCCCATAAGTAAACTAACTCTGTTGTATTGTGTGGTTTTGTGGTGTCCCTTGCCTCCAACACACCAAGTTTACCTTACACAGTTAAACTATGCACATCTTTAATCCCAGACTCAGAGGCAGAGGTAGGCAGATCTCAGTCTCAGTTGAAGGGAGACTATCCATCCTGATACCTGGTTCTTCTTCCTTGTTCCATGGAACTAGGGTCTCCAGGAGTTGTTACAAAGCTGACATCAGTATGTTGGCTGTAAGCAATCGACTCTCTGGATCTACTTGGGCTTGCTGTCTCTTTGTTCTTTCTTTTTAATATTTATTTTTTTAAGATTTTATATATTATGTATACAACATTCTGCTTCCATGTACATCTGCACACCAGAAGAGGGCACCAGATCTCATAACGGATGGTTGTGAGCCACCATGTGGTTGCTGGGAATTAAACTCAGGACCTTTGGAAGAGCAGTCGGTGCTCTTAACCTCTGAGCCATCTCTCCAGCCCAATATTTATTTATTTTATGTATATGAGTGCTCTATTTGCATGTATTGCCTTTATGGCAAAGAGGACATTAGATTCCGCTACAGATGGTTGTGAGCCACCATGGGGTTGCTGGGAATTGAACTCAGGACCTCTGGAAGAACAGGCAGTGCTCTTAATCACTGAGCCATCTCTCCAGTCCCCACTTGCTGTCTTAACTGGCTGGCTGATTCAGTAAGCGTCAAGAGCTTCAGTAGCAAGCCTTGCGTCCTATGTCCTATTTAGTCACTCCAGTCTGCTTAGGGATTGCTTGACCACTTGAGAGAAAGGAACCTTTGGGAGGCAAGACTGTTCTATTTTGATCTACAGGGTGTGTGTGTGTGTGTGTGTGTGTGTGTGTGTGTGTGTGTGTGTGTGTGACATGACCCAGACTGGCCTCTTAACTATATAATTAAGGGTGAATTTGATCTCTGGTTTTCCTTCCTCTGACTCTCAAGTGCTGGGATTACATGTTTGTGCCTGGTTTATGTAGTGCAGGGGATGGAACCCCAGGCTTCATGCATGCTAGGAAAGCACTCTACCACTGATCTATTCTACTGACTTGCATTTCTGCAGGTATTTATCAAAACTCATCAAGATGTACATTCAAGATTTGTAAATCAGGCCAGGCAGCCATGGGACACACCTTTAATCCCAGCTCTCGGGAGGTAGAGGCATGTGGATCTCTAAGCATTTGAGGCTAGCCTGGTCTAAAGAGATAGTTCCAGGATAGGATAGCCAGGCTACACAGAGAAATCCCATATGGAAAAATAAAACAAACACAAAAAGATTCATAAGTTATACCTGACTTAAAAGAAGAACCACTAAGAAACTAGAGCCTTTGAAAATAAAGTTTCTCACCAAAATGAAAAATTCAATAGAAAGGTTAGGAAATAAATCTCTCTGAACACAGGGCAAGCACAAACAGCTACAGAGGATTATGTACTGGTGGAGATCTACATCTTAGCATCAGGCATTCTGGCTGGTACATACCCCTAGAAAAATGGCCCTGAAGATGATACTAAAATATGGGAGCTAAACAATGAGATTGTATTTTATATCTAGTTAATCAACTAAAAATTTGTTTCAGCGATACTTAATTGCTTTTATGACAAGTGAGCATATATAGTCTTTTTCCATGAGCAGCAGGAAAAACCAAGCACCATCCATTATATCAGGGCTTATCTTTTGCCCAGGAAAACTCACTGCTGCAAATCTGTCCAAAGATAATGTCTCAGTCTGCTTGAGCTGCTGTAACAAAATTCCATAAACTAGGTAGTTTATAAATAACAATTGACTTCTTACGTCCGTGGAGAGTGTGAGACACAAGTAGATTGGGGTGTGTTTGTGTGTGTGTGTGTGTGTGTGTGTGTGTAAGCACTTTCTGATATATAGATGGCTCCTTCTAGCTGTGTGCTTGTGTAGTAGGAGGGACAAGGCATCCTTCCTCCTGGGGTGCTTTAACTCTAACTCCCCCCCAGTGTGTGTGTGTACTCATGCATGTGCATGCTATGGCACAAGTGTGAGAGATCAGAGACAATTCTTTCCTTCCATTAGTGCATTGTGGAGACCAAACTCAGGTCATCAGGCTTGGTGGCATCTTTACCCACTGGTCTCTGGTTTACTTTTATTTAATTGAAACAGCCCTGGTTGGCCAGGAACTCCCCATGATCTGCCTGTCTCTGCTTCTTGACTGCTGAGATGCCAGGTTCTGGGTGCTTTTACAAGAAAGCAATAATCCGTTTTCTTTTTCTTTTTTTTTTAAGATTTTATTTATTTAATTTATTTATTATGTATACAACATTCTGCTTCCATATATATCAATGCACAAGATCTCATTACAGATGGTTGTGAGCCACCATGTGGTTGCTGGGAATTGAACTCGGGACCTCAGTAAGAGCAGTCAGCGCTCTTAACCTCTGAGCCATCTCTCCGGCCCCAATAATCTGTTTTCTAAGGGCTCTGCCTTCTTGAGCTAATCTTAATCTCACAAAAGCCCTACCTCCTGATATGGTCAAATAGGGGGAGAGAACTTCCTGATGTGAACCTGGAGTCAGGGATGTCTACATAGGAAAATACTATTTGTTTTGTTTTGTAGCCTAGGCTGGTGTCCATTTGCCGGGGTCCTCTTGCCTCAACTCCCCACGTGTTGGGGTTTCAGTCGGTTATCACCAGCCCAGTTCCAGGCAGTAATTTTAGTAATCTTTCTTTTGAAATAGGGTCTCAATGTGTAGCCCAGGATAGTTTCCAACTTATGACAATCCTCCTGTCTCAGCTGAGTGCTGCGATTTATAGGTGTGTACCACCGTGACAGATGATTTTTTTTTTTTTTTTTTTTTTTTTTTTTTTTTTTGTCTATGTAGCTATGACTGTTCCGGAACTCATATGCACACCAGGCTGGCCTCGAACTCAGGGATCTGCCTGACACTGTCTTCCAGGTGCTGGGGACTCGTTGTGAGCTCCTTTGTCCGGCCAAACATCAATCTTCAAAAGAAAAAAAAAAAAAGTGGAATTCCTGGAGATGTTCACTGAAGTATGACGTCTTACGCTGCAAATCTGAAACTTGGACGCCCAATAAAGGAGTAACCTTTAACACTATGAACATGCCTTCCACCCTCAGTGGCAGGAAACCCAGAGCCACCGGGAACGCACAGTACCCAAAGGGAGGCAGCATCCCTTTGCCTAAGAAACATCACTACGGAGCCAGTCTAGGAGGCCACAACGCACCACACACACGGGCCCTTTCTGCTTCTGCCTGATTCTAATTCTCCGAGGATCGAGGAAAAAAAAAAAAAAAAAAAAGTCGCGCAGCTCTGCTGGGGTTCCGCAGCGCGCGCCCTGCCCTTTCAACGGCTGCGCAGAGACGCAAGGCGGCCATAGCGGACCGCT